CAAAACAGGGGGGGTGAGGTTCTAAGCCTCACCTCTGTTGATCCCCAATTTCTCACCTGATGGCCCCCCTGCAACTGTGCCTGTCTTAGGTTGTTCCTCCCTTGAGGAATCTTACCCGTCTCTGGCTAACCAGTCATCTTCCGGGGCCATACAGGCAAATGTGAAGTTGGTAAGTGAGAGAGAAGCCATATTGTTTGCAAAGGTTAGCTTTTTACTTCTTTGCAGATTTAAGCCCTGTGGCTTCTGTGCCCAGCATTTGTCTTGATCTTTAAGCTATTCTTAATAGAAGTTTATTCAAGCAATAATATTTGTTGGCAGTTTTTTTTTGTAAGACCTGAACCAGTTGCTTAAATATTTTGGGCTTTCATCTAAGGAAAATTGTAAACATATATAACATATCATTATTTTCTAACTAATTTGTGGTCATAATTATTTGAACATTAAAACACCTAATTTAATTTTTTTATTGAAGTATCATTGATATACAATCTTATATTGGTTTCAAATACACAACACAGTGGTTCAGCAGTTACCCGCTTTATTAAATCGTCACCCACCCTAGTGCAGTTACTATCTGTCAACATAGAAGGGTGTTACAGAATCACTGGCTATATTCTCCATGCTGTACTACTGTCCCCATGACCAATTTATTTTATGATTGAGAATTTTTGTGCCCTTTTACTCCTCTCACCTTCCCCACCACCCTATCCCAAACCTTCCCTCATGGTAACTGCCAGTCACTTCTCAGTGTCTATGAGTCACTGCTATTTTAAAACACCCAATTTTAAGTTAAGTTCAAATTTAATTAAATCTGAACAGACCCCGTAATTGGACATAGATTTCTGTGTGAAGGTTCTGAATATTTTTGTGTTACAAATTTGTTTATAGACCTAATGGAAATTACTTTCCTTAGATATTCTGTTAATTTCAGTATCCTCTCAAAGCATCTAGTTTGCTAATGAGATCTTCAGAAAACATGTAGTTATTTACTGTGAAGTTCAAATTCTATTTATATAATTTAGAATGTCAGATTGAATAATGGGAATTTGAAGAAAAAGCTTTTTTTAAAAAAAACCTTTAAAAAATAGTATAAGGCAAAAACGGTCTGATTATTTTTCAGATTCATGGTGCTTTAAAATGTTCACTGTGCTTTAAAATTTTAACTGCCCTTAAGTTAAACTGGGATTTTTGTTTTACCCAAATGTTATTTTAAAATATGACTTCTATGGAGAAAGACAAGTACCAAATGATTTCACTCATATGTGGAGTGTAAGAACAAAGGAAAACTGAAGGAACAAAACAGCAGCAAAATCACAGAACCCAAGAATGGACTAACAGTTACCAAAGGGAAAGGGACTGGGGAGGATGGGTGGGAAGGAAGGGATAAGAGCAGGGAAAAAGAAAGGGGGCATTACCATTAGCATGTATAGTGTGGGGGGCATGGGGAGGGCTGTGCAGCACAGAGCAGACAAGTAGTGATTTTACAGCATCTTACTACGCTGATGGACAGTGACTGAAGGGGTTTGTCGGGGGCACTTGGTGAAGGGGGGAGCCTAGTAAACATAATGTCTTTCATGTAATTGTAGATTAATGATACCAAAATAAATAAATAAATAAATAAAATAAAATATGACTTCCATTCTCTTGTGAAGATAATATATATTCATGAAAGAATTAACTTTATCTGGAAGTAAAGCTTATTAGTGTGAAATTTCCAAGTTCCATTACAAATCTAAGATCTCTAAATGGTTTTGATACTTGAGATATGATTTGCTTGCATGATAGCCCAAATCTTGCGTTATTTCATTCTTAGCTTTTCTCTTAACTGATTTTTTTCCTCCAAGTACTATTTCATTGAATTATTGTCAAGGTCAGAGTGTTAACAAAGTTACCAAACCGATTCTTTGAAAAGCTATTTCTTTAACACTGGTATTATCTAAGTAGCTCTGATTTAAAAGAATAACACTGTATGAAATGATCATGTCAGAAAAAGAGAATCATTACTTGCATTTTCTTGCATTACAGATAAGTCGCTGAATTGGAGTCTTCATTGATACTGCATACTCCTCAGAAGCTTGCAATTCCTCATGTTTTAAATGGGGAAGTCGAGGGCAGTTTTACGGCATATTTCATTACTAGATAATAAGCTCCATTTGTTTTTACCTGCTGACTGTTTAATCTCAAGTCAGCATGCTCAGCTTGTCCAAGTCATCCGTCTGGTTTGCTTGCCTGTTATTGGTCAAATACTTTTAAACAGGTTAGAACTTGTCATTAACATAAAAGCAGCAATGATGTTGCATTGAAATCTTAGTTTTGATATTTCACAGAAATTACTTTTTCTTTATTCTAGATTTTTAAAAATATTTTTGTAGCATTTTAAACACTGATTATTTAGTTTGCTTTCATCCATTTTTACTTGCTTTTCTTATTGCCTCTCATTTTGGTAAATTGTAAAATACTTGAAATAGTGTATCTGTAAATATGTATAATTATAGTAATGTAAAATGTAAAATACTGTGTGTGTGTGTGTGTGTGTGTGTACACATAAATGGCTTTGCCTTGCCAAGGATTTTTTTTATTTGTATAAAACAGTTTTGTATAGTTTGTTTTCAATACCAGTAATGTGTAAATAAAACCATGTAAAGTTCTGCTACATTTTGATTAGAATGTTTCCTTTAGTGTGTTTTAGATAATTAAAAAGGAAAAAAAAAATCTCCCAGGGAAGAGACGTTGGGGAGGGTATGGTTATTTTGAGGTGGTTCTTGGTGGTGTGTGGCCTGCTGAATATCTGTGAGTGGACTGCTGAGAGAGAACCGGCTGCCTTTGCTGCCTTCTCAAGGCAGGCGCTAGTAAAATGAACCAGACCTCCGCTGCAAGTAACACAAAAGCCTTGAGGGGTGGAGGTTTGGGTAAAACAGGTAAGGCTGGGCTTGCCCATTATTTGTTCACCCCTCCTCCAGACCCAGAGGACTGAGGGTTATTGTCTAGGCCCTACACTCTAGGAAGCACCTTAGGAAATTGCTATTTCTCTCAGGGGTGCCTGAAAGGGAAGCTCTGATCAGAAGGAGTAAGTGATAGATAATACTGAAATAGTTAAGTGTGGTTTTTGTAGTGCTGGGCAGAGCACCCACCATAGGGCTTCTCTTCTTCTGTTTGAATCCCCAGCGTAACCTAGAGGGCTCGTCCTTAGGCCTTCCCCAGGGCACACTACCATTCAGAAGATCCCCTCCCGGGTGAGTGAGTTCATGAGCCAGAGTAAGGTGATAACGGAGAGATGCCACTGACTGAAAGGGAAACAACAGACTATTAAAGATAATACTAAAGAGAATGAGAAAATCTCAATTTTGTAGAAGTAAATCACTGTCTAAAGGGACCAGAATCAGATTGATCTGTCTGTTTTTCAAGAGCAATACTGGCTGTAAGAAAACAAAGTACTGGGCCTAGAATTTTAAATCTATTTAAATTGTTATTCAAATGTGAAGGCTTAGTAAAAACATTAACATTTACCACTCAGATTCACATCGTAAACATTTTCGGAGGAAGTTCTCAACAAAAAGCAAGCCCAGGAGAGATATTATAAGAGCTAGGGGATAAGAGTGGTCAGATCTTTGTTGGTAAAGTGTGTAAGTAGAGAAAGATAAAGGAAGTATATCCATAATAAGCCAGAATGAATTTTAAACAGTACCAGCATGATAGAGATCAAAGGACCACAAGAATGTTAAAGGTTTTGCCTTATTGGGATGAAGGTATAGAGACAAAAATGTTCAACATTGAAACACAGTACTCAAGAAAAGTACATACATAAAAAAAAAGTTCTGTAAATTTTCAGTGTGAACACTTGTATAAATAACATTATCCAGGTGAAGAATGAGAACTTTGCCAGCCCCCTAGAGAGGCCCTCCTCCCTATTCATGGTTATAATCCTCCTTCTAGAGGTTAAACACTATTGCTGACATTACTATAGGTTAGTTTTGTCTGTTTTTGAGCTCGCAGATGGAATCATATATATATTTTTACTAGACATATTTTTGCTCAGCATTATGTTTGTGAGATTCATCCACTTAGGTTGTTTTCAGATGAAGGTTATTTATATAGTGCTGGTCTGAGCATTCTTGCACATGTTTTTGGCTGCACATATGGACACATTTTTGTTGGATATATACCTAGGAGTGTTGTGCATATGTGAAGCTTTAGTGAATACTGCCGATATTCCTATGTGCATTTATCAATTTACATTCCCACCAATGGTATATGAAAGTTCCTGTTTCCCCACATGCTCACTTAATGTTGTCAGTTTTTAACTTTAGCCATTCTGGTGGAGGTGTACTAAGGTCTCCTGAATGTTGGCACTTTTAGTATCCTTTTTTGGTAAAGTCCCTGTTCAAGCCTCTGATCATTTTTCTTATTAATTCATAGGAATTAATTATATAATCTGGATATGGAGATTGTAGACAAGATGAGCCCTTCGTAAGTCCTGTATGTAGCCCTTCCCCAACTTTGTGGTTTGTGTTTCACTCTGTCACATCTTTTGACAGCAGACATTCTTAATTGTAATGAAGATTTAATTTATCATTCTCAGTTATGGTAGTACCTGTTAAAGATACCTTCTTTAACATTTTTTGTTACTGTCTTGAGACTTTCATTGTTTTACTATGCACATTTGCATCTACAGTTCACTAGGAATTGAATTTTTTTGTAGAGTGTGAGATAGTGGGTAGTTTTCAATTTTAAAAAAATGTTAATTGACCAATTCTCATGTGTTGTAAAGACTGTCCACGCACCACTGCTCTTCATTGCCTCCTTAGAAACAATCAGTTGCCCATATATGCATGGGTTTCTTTCTGGAATCTCTTATTCTGTTTGTTGGTCTATTTGTCTAATCTTGCACCCATATTATCGCTCTTAATTACTACAGTTTTATAGTAAGTCTTGATATCTAGTAGAAAAGTTCTATCAATTCATTCCCTTTCTTCACCACTGTTTATGGGTAGATTTGGCTCTTTACATTTCCACATACAATTTAGAATCAGCTTACCAAACACAGAAAACCTGTTTGGGTTTTTGATCTCACATTGAATCTATGAATCAATTTATTTGGAAATTTTCCTTTCTTAATGTCTTGACAGGTTTTGGTATCCAAGTTATTATGCTGGCTTCATAAAATGCATTGGAAAATGTTCTTTTTTCCATTCTCGGTAGGAGGTACATGGTGTAATTGAAAGACATGGGCGTAAGCCCATTGCTGAACTTCTTTTGCTGTGAAAATTTCTTGAACAGAGAATGTGTGGAATGTCATAATGGTGAATAGGTATTCCATAAAGCTGTTCTTGGGGAATATGTCTCTCCCCGTGAGAACAAAACGCCTCTTTATCTATCCATGAATAGAGGCTGATGTAATAAACCTGCTACTAAGTAGTTGATAGTCCATATTTGGACATGACTTCAACTTCATGGTTGACAACAGGTTAAGCTGTGCAGTGGAGGTATCCAGGTCAGCTGCGGTTAAGGGAAGTCCATGTTGTTGAGCCCATACAAAGCTTTCTTTGTTGCCTTATGGCCATTTTGTACCTAAGTCCATTAAGTAAGTATGGTGTGCAAGGGAAAGAGGTGATATAGTCTTACAAGTTAATCGTTAAATGGCCTGGGGTAGCACATCACATGGCCTCTAGAATTCAAAAAGGTTTATGTTTTTGTTTTGTTTCTGTGTTTGAGTTTTATGGTAGTGGTTTTTTAGTGTAAAGGACAGCAACTTATCTTTTCTCCATCTCATTGATATTCTCCTCTGCACTAAGGCCTTTGGTGAGCATTCATGCAGGATAAAATAAGTTTGCTCTTTCTGTCCAGTCTTAGAAGCCCATTCATTAGTCCATTCTTCCTGAGACTTTGTCATATTCCCAATTATCTTCTTTCCAAGTCTTTAACCATCCAGCCACATCTTTAACTACTGTCTTTGAATAGATTCTACTTTTGGCCCTTTCTTCAAGTGGAGACAACTAATATTGTTAAAAATTCTATTCCTCACTCCCTCACATCTCTGGGAAGAATTTCCCTTCATCATTATCTCCTGATTGGGGTTGTAATATTGCAGCAGTCTACTTCTGGCTTGTGTTAGCATATTATCCAGAAACATTTGGAAACCAGGCCTAGATCTTTTTTCTCCTCCATTTACTGGTCTTCAGGCTGTATGTGTGAATTGAGTGAAAGAGAGGCAGCTACAGTATTACGTGTTAAAGAAATCTGAGCCACCTGCTCGTGCAGCCTGTATCTCCCAAACCTGCTTCAACCTGATTTTTTGTAAAATATTTCCATTTATTGATGAATACCACTTTTTGTGCCCAACCTTATGGTTGGATGGGTTAGATCACACCCAGTTAATTCTGGGCAGCTCAGCTCACCTGGTCACTTGATGTCCCTTGGTCAGGTATGTCAACTCTTAACAGGGCATAGCTTTGGCCCAAAGCACTGGAGATCTGCACTGTGATGCTTTAATTGAGGCTTGCCAGAGACTTCATGCAGTGTATTTATTAGCTGTAACCTCTCTGAGTATCATCTGATTTGCTAGCATCTTGCACTGCAGCCTGAAGTTGGCTGCAGAGCCGTTTCCCCCTCTGTCCCCCCTGTGAAAACTCACATAGTCTTAGAGGTTAATCGTTAAATGGGCTGGGGTAGCACATCAGATGGCCTCTAGAATTCAGAAAGGTTTATGTTTTTGTTTTGTTTCTGTGTTTGAGTTTTATGGTAGTGGTTTTTTAGTGTAAAGGACAGCAACTTATCTTTCATTTTGGAAGGGATGGACCTCCATCCATCTTCACTTAGTGTTTGTGGGGTTATTTCCTGCTCGTCCTGTTACCTGAGCATCTCTGGTACTTGCTGCCTCTTTCTCATCAGATCCAGTCAGCATAATGCTGTGGCCTAGTATGATATTCTGGGGGATATGAAGACCATCTGGACCTCTGGCCTAGATTATGGCAGAAAACAGGAAAATTGATGGACCCCTCAGCCAGAGGGTGAAAGGTGTGTTGTTGTCTGTGATCCATTTGGAGTTGTTTTTTTGGGGGGGTGGGGGGGCATCTCTTTTATATACATTTTTTATCATTCATGTACAATTTTACATTGGTTTCAAATGTACAACACAGTGGTTCAACAGTTACCCTTATTATTAAATCCTCACTCACAGTAGTGCAGTTCCCACCTGTCAACATAGGAAGATGTTACAGATTCATTGACTATATTCTCCATGAATTCTTCCTGAGACTTTGTCATATTCCCAATTATCTTCTTTCCAAGTCTTTAACCATCCAGCCACATCTTTAACTACTGTCTTTGAATAGATTCTACTTTTGGCCCTTTCTTCAAGTGGAGACAACCAATATTGTTAAAAATTCTATTCCTCACTCCCTCACATCTCTGGGAAGAATTTCCCTTCATCATTATCTCCTGATTGGGGTTGTAATATTGCAGCAGTCTACTTCTGGCTTGTGTTAGCATATTATCCAGAAACATTTGGAAACCAGGCCTAGATCTTTTTTCTCCTCCATTTACTGGTCTTCAGGCTGTATGTGTGAATTGAGTGAAAGAGAGGCAGCTACAGTATTACGTGTTAAAGAAATCTGAGCCACCTGCTCGTGCAGCCTGTATCTCCCAAACCTGCTTCAACCTGATTTTTTGTA